GTCAGGAGCTTCTCTCTGATTGGTCAGGAGCTTCTCTGATTAGTCAGGAGCTTCTCTCTGATTGGTCAGGAGCTTCTCTCTGATTGGTCAGGAGCTTCTCTCTGATTGGTCAGGAGCTTCTCTGACTGGTCAGGAGCTTCTCTCTGATTGGTCAGGTGCTTCTCTCTGATTGGTCAGGAGCTTCTCTCTGATTGGTCAGGAGCTTCTCTCTGATTGGTCAGGAGCTTCTCTGATTAGTCAGGAGCTTCTCTCTGATTGGTCAGGAGCTTCTCTCTGATTGGTCAGGAGCTTCTGTCTGTGGTCTTTTTGTTCAGATTTGATTTCTTTGTGTAAATCTGACTCCTGCTGTTTTTAGTGGAAACATTACTTCCTGTTGCATCATCTTCACTGTCCTGCTCACCTGCAGAGAAAGTCCTGAGTTTTACAGACGTCTTTAAACACATCATCACATCCGACACTTCACCGCCTGGAATTCTGGGTAAAAAAATAATTTAAAACACATTTACAGCAAACATCTCTACAAAAATTGCATTTCTCAGTAGGTTTTTTTTATGTGACATTTCATAATAAAATACCCTGGAAATGATCATTAAATGACAACATAAAAGTTTGATTTAATAAAAGGTAAAAAATGAACTGAGTGTAACTTTAGAAAGAAAAATATGTGAAAGTCTCTGTTCAGTTTTAATTTGGCAGCTGTTTGTGTTTTAAAAACTGTTTTATTTTTTAGATTTTTCTGCCAACACAAAATAAAAGCTTTCGTTTTGGTCGGCAGCAGTGACTCACTCGTTATCACTCCGTCACTGAAACTCGTGACCCAGAAAACACCAGGAAGAGTTTCTGGAGCACCGGCAGGGAGGTGATGCTGCAAAGCTTCAGGGCTTCATCCCTGTTGTTATTCTGACAGCTCTCTGACTTCTTCTTCTTTTTACTCTGTTCAGCTGCAGACTGTCAGCAGGTCAGTCACCTGCTGGAACATCCTTTAGAATAATTAATAAAAGAAAGATGGACTGTAAATGACCTTTGACCCTGTGAATGACCTTTGACCCTGTGAATGACCTTTGACCCTGTGCAGGTTATCTCTGAGGTTTAACACACATTCATGGAACTCTGTTCAGTTTCAAACCATAAATAAATCAAGTTTCTCCGTCTCTGGCTTTGCTTCCTGTTTCACTTCCTGTCTTTTAGTCCTTAACCTCCATCAGCTCCTCCCACTGAGGAGGACGAACCTGAAGAGGTGAAGACCCTCCTCAGTCCTGTCACAATGATTAAGATGCATGAAGGACACAGTGTGTGCTGTGGGTCGACCCGGCTGCCTCAGTCTGATGGGGATGATGAAGAGCACTTCTTCAGATAAAAGCCTCCTCATAAATCCTCAGGCTCTGAGTGACGGAGCCCAGGACAGGAAGCTGTCCACAAACTGATCCGTTCATTCTCACTCAGAAGCTGACGCTTTCCAGGAACGTGACGCATGTTCCAGTCTTTACTGAGTAAAGGAAACTACAAAGGGGTCCAGGTCAGGGTACAGGTCAGGGTACAGAGTCCAGGTCAGGGTTCAGTGTACAGGGTCCAGGTCAGGGTCCAGGTCAGGGTCCAGGTCAGGGTCCAGAGTCCAGGTCAGGGTTCAGTGTACAGGGTCCAGGTCAGGGTCCAGGTCAGGGTCCAGGTCAGGGTCCAGAGTCCAGGTCAGGGTTCAGTGTACAGGGTCCAGGTCAGGGTCCAGGTCAGGGTCCAGGTCAGGGTCCAGAGTCCAGGTCAGGGTTCAGTGTACAGGATACAGGTCAGGATACAGGTCAGGGTACAGGTCAGGGTACAGGTCAGGGTACAGGTCAGTGTTCAGGGTACAGATCAAAGTACAGGGTACAGGTCAGGGTCCAGGGTCCAGGTCAGGGTCCAGGTCAGGGTCCAGGTCAGGGTTCAGGTCAGGGTACAGATCAAAGTACAGGGTACAGGTCAGGGTCCAGGTCAGGGTACAGGTCAGGGTTCAGGGTCCAGGTCAGGGTACAGGTCAGAGTCCAGGTCAGGGTACAGGATACAGGTCAGGGTCCAGGTCAGGGTCCAGGTCAGGGTTCAGGGTCCAGGTCAGGGTTCAGGTCAGGGTACAGGTCAGGGTTCAGTGTACAGGATACAGGTCAGGGTCCAGGTCAGAGTCCAGGTCAGGGTACAGGATACAGGTCAGGGTCCAGGTCAGGGTCCAGGTCAGGGTTCAGGGTCCAGGTCAGGGTTCAGGTCAGGGTACAGGTCAGGGTTCAGTGTACAGGGTACAGGTCAGGGTTCAGGTCAGGGTACAGGTCAGGGTTCAGGGTACAGGTCAGGGTCCAGTGATGCTCTGTGGTCAGCAGCTGATGCATGTCTCCGTCTGGTTGTGTTTCAGGCTTCGACTCGTACTTCATGTCCAGAACTCTGGAGAACAACCGGAGGAATGTTTGGTTTGCTGAGTACTGGGAGGAGAACTTCAACTGCAAACTGATGAGCTCCTCCAAGAAGGACGAGAGCAGCCGCAAGTGCACAGGTGGGTGTTCCTGAGGAGAACCCACAGACCCTGGTCCAGAGTCTGTGGTCTTAGTGAAGTCCTCTGAGGAGGTTCTGGTCAGTCCGTCAGCAGGTAACAGAACCTGTGTGGAGCAGGCAGTTAGTGAGGAGGTGTAAAGGTGCCAGCAGGCTGTGAGCACTAATGAAGCCGTTCTATTTAAAGTATTGATTGAAGACACAAAAGAAGGACTTATCTTGTCGCTCTGTTCTCTCTTGTAGCCGGGCCTCGTTACAACCAGACTCCTCCATTATGCTCTGTAATTTCCTGCCCTGACTGATTGATTTTTGAAGATATGAACTTTAGAGGCTGTCGCAGCGTCTGAATTCATTTGTTGGACCTAATTCATTGTCAGAATTCCCATTTCCCTTAAACGGTCAGTTCTCCTTTGTTTGCCGTCTCTTCCCTCCCTCCTCACTTCTTAATGTGAGCTACATGTCAGGACCAAACATCGTCTCAGGAGCCAATCAGCACAGAGACGACACACGAGCACCTTTATTCATGCAGAGGTCCTGGAACAGAGGTCAAAGGAGGAGTTATCATCAGTTTCTACAGATAATTATTGGTTCTTCATGGTACACCTAACTGACCAATCAGAAGCTGTCAAAGTCATGACGGTCCTCTGAGGATGGAGCCACATCATGGAGAGGATTAGCTCTTGCAGACCTGTGATTTTAGTGTTTCTGAGAGTCTGGAGGGTTTCTGGAAGTTTCTGTGACCATGCTGACAGTGTGTTCTGGCTGCAGAGCAGGTCTCACTGCTCCTCAGAGACGTGAATAAAACATGGAGCTGCAGAGCTGAGTGGCAGGTCCTGGTGAAGCTCATCAGGTTCTCTGTGAGGACCTTAATGAAGCGTCCTGTCCCAGACTGACAGCTTCATATCAGCTGAGCACACGTGACTCTAACAACTGTCCATGTCAGCCGGTTGTTCTGCCTTTAATCTGAACAAATACTGAGGATTAAAAGGCTTCTGGCTCATGTTTCTCTGAGTTTCATCAGTTTGTCTGAGAGAACAGGAGGCAGACTCTTCTTATTATCTGATTTGAATAAATCCTTTGTTTTAACTCAATCTGTGAGGATGGGGGGAGGGGGGGTCTAACAGTGAGACACCAGTCCAACAACCAGGCCAATTATTTCTGTTCTGAACTCATCAAAGCAGCAGCAGCAGCAGGGTGGGAGGAGCTCCTGACTGCTAAAATTAACCTGACATCTGTCTGTTTGCTGGGCTCCTCTGATGAGCCTTCATGCATCGCTCTCACACAGGTACACAGGTACAGGTACAGGTACCAGGTACAGGTACACAGGTACAGGTACACAGGTACACAGGTACAGGTACAGGTACACAGGTACACAGGTACAGGTACACAGGTACAGGTACAGGTGCATAGGTACAGGTACACAGGTACACAGGTACAGGTACA